CGCCCAACGGAACTGAATTGTAATACGCTCAAGCCCTGTTCAGTTTAAGTAATGTATTTAAAAATAACCAGAAACAAGTTTATAAATATCGAAGGTGATCGGGTCGAAAATCAAATTTGATCTTCAAGTGTTCGAATCACCACAACTTACTGATACGCAGAAAGTTTGTCGTTAATATCGTAAAGAAAAAAATGGTGAATGTTAAAGTTACTTTCAACAAGACTAGTGTCTTAAAGGTAAGCTGCCTATTCATTATAAATTAAAGTTAAAAAATTGAGCGAAAACAGTTGATTAGAAAAATTGATATCGAGCATTCTTAGACTTTTCATAAAGAGAAATTTATCAGAGTATTTTTTTTTGATCAAATTTATCTTACACCAACTGAAACTAAATATTCCTAATGTGATAAATGAGAGATTTAACAACGAGGTTTTGATATGCCATCATGGCTTCGTAGCCTAAACCACGTAAATTATGACTCATGCTTAGTACACAAGTGACCCATACTAACTATGAAAATTCCGACCAATTTCTATTAAAGTTTTTCAAATCATGTATATGTTAGCTACTTGAGATAACAATGCAATTTCTTATTACAGATTCTGGCTGTTCTGGTATCCTGCATCCTGGTCAAATCAAGTTCGAAACAGGGCACCCTATCTCAACGCCTGCTACGGAGAGCGAAGAGAAGCACATGCATTAGAAGCAACAACCCCGAAAATTTCGAACGAACATTACCAGAGAACCTCAGTAAACCAAGTAAGTCGAAATTGTGTATTACAATGAGTCTTTATATACAGTAAATCAAGATGCCGTAGGTCACAATGGATATTTCAATTCTTGATTTTCCTGAAGGGTAAAAATACCCAACGTTCCTAAGCAATCCATACACTTTTCCTTTACAACGCTTCAATTGGCTAAGATGACCTTTCGATGACATTCAAATTAGAATTGAAAATTCGAATTGTCCGTAAAAGCGATAATTTAACTAAGCAGAAAGCCATCTTACAGTTATATTTCCCATTATAGATCTCCAATGTAAGCCAGGCTGTCATGAAGTGAAAGTTCAAGTTCAATACGCCATCGTGAAAAATGAAACATGGGTCGTCGGTTGCCGGACAAAGCCGTTCCCATCAAACGCACAACAAGTCTACAACATAGGTCAAGGTTACAAGTGGCAATGCATGAAAGGTTACAATCCTGTTATGGAGTATTCAACAACAATCGAATTTGAAGGTGATGACAAACTCGTACTCAAAAAAGGTAAAGGAGTCTTACTTGGCTGCGAAAAAGCAAGTTGAATGCAATCCAGAGACATCGAAGCTTATCGTTTTAAACTATTTATACAATTGAAATTGCAAATTATGTCATGTGACACAAAAAATATAAAAGTATTTTCTAAATTTCATCTAATATAATCGACAAAGTAGAAGCATAAGTATATTATTAGGAGAGTCAATTATCTTATTTAATGTAGAAATCTGGCATCTTTAGGAAGAGCATTTTAATTGTTGTACGCATAGATACTATTTAAAAGATTATTATATTTATCATAAATATTATTATTGTATTTTAAATTATTCCCATTTCAATAGAATGGCACTATTTATGTGAAACGTATTTAATAAAATATATTTAATGAAATATAAATTTATTTCGATTTGAAATGACTGATCTGCTTTTCGAGACAATCGTAAATTTCACATTACCTTTTTTCGTGTTTCCGATTTATGATCTCATGGTAAAAATTTGGATCATCCCACTCCGTTTCCTGTTGACAGGGCTCACTAGGTATACGCGTGGTTCATTTCCTACATTTGAAAACAAAACTGAATGTTTGAAATAGTCAGGTTTATAGTGGAAACATTATAAAGTGAATAACTTTCACGTGAAATTCAAACATATAAAAAGCGCTTATCAAACAGGAGCCTTCATCTTGCATTGTTCTCAAACCGATCAGAAAAACCGTTAGAGCAATTGCATGTTGAAAAACCAGCCGCAGGTGGAAGCACGAAGTTCAAGACGAGCATGTCAACATCATGACCTTGCCAAAAACATCATAACCAGGCTTAAGATTTCTTCCCACTCCGGAAATGCGAGCTAAATATTGCACTAAAGTCCAACACACTTACGCGTTTTTCTTGAATTGACGACTATAAGGGTGATGGGATACCTATGGTTACATTTATGTACCATGTGATACACCGGCGCTACTTAGATACGTGGAATAATGCATGGAACTATGTGCAAAAGACGCCATAAGGCACGATTAGGAATAGCAGCTTGCTTCGGTTATATGGTGCCCACAAAGAATGACCACATAACAGTAAGGATTTTGTTTTCCATTTAGGTTAGTAGACACTGGTTCGTTTGTTTGGAATATTACCAGCCGAAACAAACGAGAATGATAGCAATATATAAATATCGCTTAGACGTTTTCACGTTCGGGACAAACTAATCCTGGCGATTGCGGAGGACTTCAATGACTTTATTGTACGTGACTCATTAATGCGTGGATTTAATCCAACCAAAACGTCTTAAGTTAATGTACCAGTAAATATATTGCTTGTACGATGTGGCTCATAACTGTCAAGCGACGAAACACAAGGTAAGACCTTGTTATTAGCACAAAGACATGTCAATGGGAGTCACGTACAAATAAAGATTATGTAGGAGGAATACCATTGAAACACAGGTATTCTAGCCAGTTGCAAATATATTTTGTAACTATCTTAACAGCCAACAGAAGGAAAGGTCACATTCATAGATTGATGTCGACAGTGATTAGATACGTCATACTAAATAGCGCCTTACAAAACGACATCGGTCTGTATATAAGAGGCAGCATCGAAGTGCTCTTTCTAGAGTTCACTTGGTCCCTAATTTACCGAAAATTAGTTGGTACATTGAGCGTGTGATTGGTGTGAAATCTTATAAAAAGAACAGGAGAAAGATGGCGCTGGGAATTCTACGATATGTTATCAAAGTAAGTAAACATGTGCACTTCAATAGCTAATTGATATTTTACACATACGCTAGGTAATTGATATTTTATAAATAGCATCTGTCCTGTTATCCGGTTATCGAAAGTACATAAATTAAAGTAGATAATGTAAAGACATTAAACGAAAAGGAAAGATCTGTATATGCCACAGCTATTTTTAATTGTTGCTCTTCGTGTAAACATATGTCTTGGTAACTGTACAATTCCAAATTTCTAAAAATATTCCCATGCATTGATTAGTTCATAATAAGGTTTTATTTCAAAATGATGTAGGATAATATTATAAAAAGCAGTGTAAAACAGTACGTATAAAATGCGTTTCCGCTTATTCTTACAAAATCGAAAGAATCGAGTTGCTAGAAACGTCTTTATAGATAGTAAGGTATTGTAACATTGACCTCGTGCAAATTGATTCCAGAAAATATATTCATTACAAACGTGTTATTTGAAAAAAGTTTTATTTGGTAGGCCTGTATGCGTTCGTCTTCAACGACGACAACCGCTTTAATAGATAAATCACAGTGGTCAGACTCCATGCTGACCCAATTAACTAAATAGTTAAATGGTCAATGAAAGATATAGCAATTTAATTTACAAAAACATAATTCTAATAAAGTAAACCATTTCATTACATTAGAACATTTTAAAGTAATCAAATATAAGAACAATTGCTCTACAATACTACGTCCACAATGTATAATATGGAATTGCTGCTTTCTGCTTGATATGCTCGAAAAAAACTTAACTGAGCTCAATAACTCTTTTCTCAGTTAAGTTAACGTTTAATATGTTAAAACCGACAACGCTTGTATTGGAAAAAATATACAAGTTAAATATTCGAAGTGTTAGATTTTTATACAAATGTCAGCTGCTTTTTGGCACTTCTTTCGCTGAGGAGTTTCCTAGTTTCTTTGCATTTAACGTTCTTTTATCATAAAAAGCATTTTGTAACACAGTATTTTCTGCAAAAAGACAACATAAGCATGTTTTTTCATTTAGAACTGTTAAATTTTGTTGTTTTTAAGATGGGGGAAATTTACCGTGCGTACCTTTGTGGTTAGTCGGTTGATCACGCATATCCGATATTCAGCAGTGGATATTTCTGTAAACATGGTTTACCGTAACTGCGTAATAGTATCATTGATAAAGTGCAATAAGTAAATAAGACAAGTTTTTTTAAATAAACATGTTTCAACATCTCATGATGCCATCTTCAGTATTTAAGAAAGAGTATTATGTTTGTGATAAATATATATGAGATGTTGAAACATGTTTATTTAAAAAAAACTTGTCGTATTTATTAAATATGGTTTAGTTGCCGCCATAATTGAGATTGTTGGTTTTCCTGTTTTTGTGATCTAGGATAAATGGTACAAAAAAACAAATTCAGATATGTTGCCTGATATTAGCTACTTGAAACTGAGCCCCTGTAAATGTGTACAAGTCTTTTTGGTTGTAAAAATTCTTGCCTACAAAGAAGCAATGATTACATGTTTGTTAATGTAGATCGTCCAGGTTAGTAGAGTCCTGAGAAGGACTGTTAGTGTTGATGTTGATTGACGTTTCGACAACCTTAGCGGTAGTCATCTTCAGAGTAAAGACGAAACGTCAGTAAACATCAACACCAACAGTCCTTCTCAGGACTCTGCTAACCTGGACGATCTACATCTACAAACATATAGCGATATTCCCGGATACAAATTATTTATTTTATTAAAAAGCAATGAACTATAAAAATTTCGCAATTGCATGACAAGGTGCAAATGTTCAAGGTTAGGAGCAAAGGATTTAGTGTATCGTATCAGTTGGGCAATGGAAAAAATACATCTAAAAAAATCCCTTAAAATAAATAATACTGACTTTGCTATTCGCTGCGTTTGCGCAGGTTTTCATTAAAAAGCTGCGAGATGAACAAAATAGATCGTATATACGCATGCGCATGCTTACAAAAACAATCGTCATCGTTCCATCGACAGGTTCTGGCATTCCTCTCATCCTCAACAGTAGTCTTATCATGGAAACACGGCAGTCTATCAGAAGACCTATTGGGAAGAGCTAGGAGAAGCACGTGCTTACAAAGCAGCAGTCCCAAGCATCTGAATTTTCCAAAAAACTTCAGCCTTGTCAGTGAGTAGAACGTTATCAAAATAATCATTTTCAAACTTCTATATACCTCGCTTTTTGATACAACGAAGGATAGATTGACTATGAAATTTTCTATCTACAAGGGAAAATATCCAGTTTGCCATTTGCTGATTTATTTCGATTTATTTCGTTTGCCATTTGCCAATAGAAAACGAAATAAAATTCCTCATTATCTTTTGTTTTAAATGCATTCGGTTCATGTATAATGCGATGTTTGAAACAGACCTTAATCGCATTAAAACTGAAAGAAAGATAACCGAACCGTGAATGTTTAATAATTTGACTGACACAATACCCGTGTTATTTTATATAGATCATCGATGTCGACCAGGTTGTCACGAGGTCAAACTGAAAGTTAGGTATGCTGAGATCAAAGTTGAAACGGTAGTCGTCGGCTGCAGGAAAAGCCCATTCCCATCGAACGCACGAAGCGTTTTCATCCTTGGCCAGGGATACGTAAGGCAATGCGTAAACGGCTATAAACCAATCATGGCGTACCAGGCAAACGTACAGTATGATGACGATGACAAACTTGTTTTTAAACAGGGCAAAGGCGTGCTGATTGACTGCATGAAGGCAGATTAATATCAAGTCGAATACAAGAAAGATTATTCACTTCAACATTGATATAGTTAGGAAGCTATTGAAATTAGACTATTTTTTATGCCAAATTACGTATTTGTTCGACGAAATCTACAAACTTGTAGCGTATACAAAAAGTTACCAAAATTATTTATGTAAGACATCTCTGCATTAAAAAATGACATCGAAACAACTAATTTGAGTATAATATTACTTGTAAACGCACAATTTATGGCCAGATAATATGGCTCCCCTCAAGTCACTATATAGCAATAGGACTAAAACACTTAAGCCAACGAATTATCGAATTATTGTTTTAAACCATTCTCTTGGAATATACCAAAGAATGACGTCTACTGGAGCCTACAATAGCACTCACAATTAAAATATTCTTTTGTGAGACCTCCATCACGGCTAACGAGAAAAACAAGATTGCAGACGGCAGACAAAGCTAAGCAGAAGATGCATTGACTTTAGCAAATAAACTTTCACACAGAATTGAGCTTTAATGCAAAACTGTCAAGAGTTTTCAAACCAGCAATATTGCATCATTGTCTTTAGCATTAAATTGTTATCAGGTTTTCGTAAATGGTGAACGAAGTGAAAGATGTTCTACAAACAACCTTGTGCGCATGCACACTCCTTTTCTCACTAAGGAAGCACATAAACAACTGCACGAAACGAATACAATACACACTACATGCTCAACACGAGTGTTAATTTCCATCAACAGAAAGCGAAATCATTATCAATATGTACATCAGGAACCTTATCATGATGTTTTTCCTTTAACACATATCATAATCAGAAGAAAGTAGCTCGTTACACATTGCTTACAGCAACGTGCAGATGAGATGCAGTTGCTCATCACAAATCAGTAGCTCTACCCAAATACAGTGATAAGAAAGCAGACTGTTGGCTCCATTTCCTTACATGTGAATCAGAGAAATCAGTATTGGTATATTTGAGACATGTGCTTCGTTCATTTCCTCATACTGGTGCATTAAAATAAGCTAACTTGGTATTGAATACACTGCTAAAGCATAGCAAAGACCCGGCTACCTATTGTCGTGAAGATAATTGTATGGTTTCATGCAAATGCAATTTGGAAAAATAGGCACTATTATATGAACGAGTTTCCAAAGATTAAAAATAGCACTAACTGCATGATACAGCGCCATGTCAATAAGTTTCGGAAAACCCACGACTGCACAGACCACTTGAAGTTTTTTCTATATGCATAGTAAAAAAAAGAAGCGTATCACGCAATGATAAAGTTTATTGCTCTTTCATTTTTGCAAAGAGTTTCATCGCAAAGGATTTTCGCACTTACATCGAGATCACATGCACGGTAGACGAACCAATCACAGCCAACTATCAATTCCTACTTCATTATATTACAATATAAATGCTCTCAGTTTGACTTCACACATGGCTGGAAGTTATATACGTTTATTTAAAATTGTTGGCTGACTTTGGTTAAAACAAACTGCGCAGTCGCTGTACGGTTTTTAAATAAACGTTCATTTTGCAAGACAACGATTCTAAAATCTTTAAGACTTTGCAAAATGAGGTCGTTTTTGCCACGAGTCCAAGGCGAAAGTTCGGGGTATTTCCGCATCAAGACGCCAATCAAATTACAAATACGAAACATCAACAATGGTAAGTGTGTGAAAATGGAAGGAAAGGAAGTACGAAAAAAATGCACTTAACCTTGTAATAAACAGCTACATATTTATTGCTCATGAAAAGTGCTCAAAAAATAACCAATACTACTTTCTCCAGCAAAAAGACGTAATACTTAAGGTCAACAAGCTGCAAGGGATATTTTTTACGGAAGTTTAATTTTTTGCTTTAAGAAAGGAAACGAAACCGATGTCATCGTGGAAGGTGATTGACCGAACGTTTGTAAATTACTGATTGAAGAAATTTATGAACTTCGAACACGAAAACCGTTTAACGACAGCACGAAATTTGTATCAGTAGAAAAATACAATAGAGCAAGACGCAAATGCAAATGGAAGCCGTCTTGGGTATAAACTGCAAACCTTAAAGTACAAATAAACCGGCAAAATTATTCCACATAAAGCAACGAATAGCGTTGCTTATTCCACTTATAGCAACGTCATATGAAAGAACGCCTTCGCAGACGAAATTGATAGAATGCATCGTCAATAAACAACGCATTATATGCAAATTAGTTAAAAATAGACAGTTTAAATACGATGCAGCGTCGAAGTCATTTACACAGAGTCCAACTCGTTCAAGTCCTTCGAAGATTAGAAAGTCGGTCGAAATTTCAAACGTATAGCAACCGTTAAGACAGAGAATGATGGAAGTTAAGATGCTGCAAACTCTTATAAAAGTAAGTTTATGCGCGCGCCTTTTTGTGCAAAAGACCGTTAAGACAGAGAATGATGGAAGTTAAGATGCTGCAAACTCTAATAAAATTAAGTTTATGCGCGCGTCTTTTTGTGCAAAAGCGAAAAGGGGATATGTGTAATCACAACTACTTCATTGCACTGAAAAACATTCGGTTCTTTAGTAAAATTTATAAATAAATCATAAAAAGAATCTTGTCAATGTTCTCTCTCAAGTCTTGGCGTTTGTAACAAATTAGCGAGTTATGTGTAAAATTAATTGACATATTGTTGATTAAAAAAATTCTAATTTCATTACAAATTACTTCTTTATTAATTATAACGAAAGTAATTTTTGTAGAAACTATTTCATTGTAAACTAACGTTTTTCTTAGCGAATGTTTACCCATTTAGAATAAAAAATAATTTTATTCATAATTGAAATATTAATTAATAATTGCAAGCAAGGAAATAGTTTGAAAATGTCATAGCTATAGCTATATACTTTTGTATGGCATGTCGTCACAAATTTTCTTTCGACTTTGTTTTTTTCTGCTGTATAGCTTCAAAATGAAGAACCTCGAATAAAAATAGCTAAATTTTTAAACGTGTCATGGTCTTATATTTATAGATCAGGTTTTAACTGACTAAACATTTATGAACAGGCTTTTATCATAGGAAAATTTTCGCGTGGAAAAGCGTCAACAACCGAAAATTGTTTACTTAAATTTTATACAAAACTAGTTTCAAATAAGATGGCCTATGGAATGCAACAATCATATGGATATTTAAGGTCGAACAAAAGTACTTTTTACAATCCCAAAGTCAAATGTATGAAAGTGTGATAAGGAACTTCGAACAATGATGTTGAAAATTTAGCTAGCAATTCATGAAAAAATTAACATGTTATTTTTACCAACAGGTGTTGGTTATAATTACAACCTGCATCTTGTTCTCACAAGGATCGAAATTACCTCAACAGATATTAAGAAGAGCAAAGAGAAGCAGCTGCATTGAAAGCAGTCATTCCAGCCATTTCCCTTATCCCTTTCCAAAAAACTTCAGCCTCGACAGTAAGTAGCGGACAATTAAATACATTACTTCCGTTTGAAATTTCTCAAATTTCACAATGGTCTCGATCCCATAATGAGAACATGGCCAACAAATAACTACTTAACAGAAAATTTTGAGCCAAAGAGTGATTCTAGATGTGTTAATTCCTTCTCTTTAAGGTATAACGTAACGAGTGAAAAGAAAGTACTAGCTTGCTATATATGCATCTTAATTATAACTAACTGCTAACAGAAAGCAAAAGTATGAGAACGTCTGAGAAAAGCAATGAGCACAATATCGTTCACGGACAATCGAAGCCTTAATTGTAGCTAAAGTTGAAATTTTCAATTCAAATGTCGCCAAACGAGGAAGCTCATGTAATATCGAAATCGCAGAGACCTTACGAGTACAGGAGTTTGTATCTCAAAAGATTTACTAGCTTGCTATATATGCATCTTAATTATAACTAACTGCTAACAGAAAGCAAAAGTATGAGAACGTCTGAGAAAAGCAATGAGCACAATATATATCGTTCACGGACAATCGAAGCCTTATTTTTTGGTCTTGGCAAAGTTGTAGCTAAAGTTGAAATTTTTCAATTCATTCGAATGTCGCCAATTTCTACGAGGAAGCTCATGTAATATCGAAATCGCAGAGACCTTACGAGTACAGGAGTTTGTATCTCAAAAGATTTACTAGCTTGCTATATATGCATCTTAATTATAACTAACTGCTAATTCTGAGAAAAGCAATGAGCGTTCACGGACAATCGAAGCCTTACAAAGTAGCTAAAGTTGAAATTTTCAATTCAGCCAATTTGCTCATGTAATATCGAAATCGCAGAGACCTTACGAGTACAGGAGTTTGTATCTCAAAAGATTTTCAAATACATGCATCATTTTCGATTCACTGATGGATGAAATGACAATTTCACATAAATTGCTGTCGTAATAGCAGCGATTTCACTCTGGTAAAAATGCAAGCCATTAGGTATTTAGGGCCTGTTCATATGAGCCGGGCTGGCTCGCTTTGCCGGGCGAGTTTATTATTTTATTCTTATGAGGCGGGCTGGCCCGGCAAATACAAAAACAATTAATTACGCACGCCGCATAAAAGTCCAAATTCCGATATTTCATGTTACTTTCATAAGCTGAAAGAAACTCAATGATGTTATGCATTAGTCTATGGTCCACCGAAAGTTGTTCTTTTGCTTGCCCTCTATTTTGCATTGAATTAAATTTCGCTTGCCCTCTATCTCGCTCAAGCGAGATCCCGGCAAGACGGGCCAGCCCTCCTCTCATATGAATCAAATTTGAAATTTGGCAAAGTGGGCCAGCCTGGCTCACGTGAACAGCCCCTTAAACAGAGTGGTTCGATCGTAATCAAAACCACCTGAAGACGAAAAAAAAACAATTAAACACATTCAATTGTCATCGATTCATTCAGCAATCATCACTCCAGTGTATTATTACAGACATTTTTTCCTTCTTTTCAGACCTACAGTGTATGTCTGGATGTCAAAAGGTAAAACTACAAGTTGAATATGCTGTCGTCCACTTTGCGACTGTAGTCGTAGGATGCCGGGAAAAGCCGTTCGCCTCGAACGCGCAAACCGTCTACGTGGAAGGCCGAGGATACGAAAGACGGTGTATTAACGGTTATCAACCAGTTATGGGATACGATATTACCTATGAGTACGATGGCGATGACAAACTGGTTTTTAAACAGGGTGAAGGCAAGTTGATTGACTGCGTATGAGCAAAATGAGCCCATACCTCGTCGGGAGCAAAGTAAAACGGACTTTGTATTTACGCTGTTATCAGATTATAATATCACGTAATTACTTATTAATAACATAGATTCTGTATTAATGTATTTATATACTATTAAATAAACTTATTCAGTTCAGTCAGAAGGTTAAAAATAAAATAATATGAACGCAAATTGCAAAGTACTATAGCATTTATGATACATCACGAGAGTTGAAAAAATATGCAACACTCCGTCATATTTTAGCCATTGTGCTGAGCTTGGCAATTAATCCGTAAAATCCTCTTCAACCGAGACAAAGTCATTTAGATTTTTTTTTAGTTTTTAAGTGGGCACTTGCCTACTAAAGAAGCCAGTCTCCAAACATCTGTCACAAAATTTGTTCAATAAATTCATTTCAACTCCGATTATTTCACGAAATGCAATTGCAACACAAAACATCCCTCAACAAAGGAGACCTACTTTTCTGATAACATTAAGTGTCATTAAATTCATCTCAACTCCGATTATTTCACGAAATGCAATTGCAACACAAAACATCCAACAACGCAGGAGACCTACTTTTCTGTCAACACTAAGTGTTAAAATTGCTTTATCGAGATCTTTCCACGTTTCCATGTAAAAAACCATGCATATAAATGGAGACATCTTAATAAAACCTCTTAAAACAGTTCAAGAAAGAGGATAATTAGATCACTGCCAAAAAAAAGAATTCCGTACCAGACTTATCACAGCATTGTTTACATATGAACTCTAAACCAATCAGAAATTCGTAAATTTGTCATTTGCAGTAAGATCAAAGAAAAAGTCTCTTGGGCTCCTCTGAAATTTTTCGATCTATTCATAATGCAAATATATCAAGGTTTGTTAAAAAATACCAGGTTAATATACGAAAATAAAGGATTAATTAAATGATACATCAACACTTCGCCAAGAACTTCCATTCAGGAATACACAAACAATAGAATCGCTGAATCATTATTCGAGCAAACTCCGCCTCCGCGAATAACAATTTTACTCTCTCAACCACAGGATTGTAATCTCTCAACCACAGGATTGTAATCTCTCAACCACAGGATTGTAATCTCTCACCACAGGATTGTAATCTCTCAACCACAGGATTGTAATCTCTCACCACAGGATTGTAATCTCTCAACCACAGGATTGTAATCTCTCAACCACAGATTGTAATCTCTCACCACAGGATTGTACTCTCTCAACCACAGGATTGTAATCTCTCAACCACAGGATTGTAATCTCTCAACCACAGGATTGTAATCTCTCAACCACAGGATTGTAATCTCCCAACCATAGGATTGTAATCTCTCAACCACAGGATTGTAATCTCTCAACCACAGGATTGTAATCTCTCAACCACAGGATTGTAATTTCTCAACCACAGGATTGTAATTTCTCACCACAGGATTGTAATCTCTCAACCACAGGATTGTAATCTCTCACCACAGGATTGTAATCTCTCAACCACAGGATTGTAACAGCCTGAGAGAGTGCTGTAGCATATACATATAACGATGTACACACATTCCGGTTTAGGAATATACTGTGTGATGAGAGCGAAACCAACGCCAGTACGTACATACAGTATTTTGACAGCCCCATCTTAAGTTCAAGGAAGGAAAGGTTGCCAAAACTTTCTTGAAAGTAAGATGTATTTTATGCACTGTCATATAACCTAGTTTCAAATTATTATATAGTCAAAAATCAATAATCTTTTTATGGTGTCAGATTTGTGGTATTTCATCTTCAATATGTAAATATTCTTTGATGCACGTAGACTGGCAATCGATCAAATTTGTGGGTTAAACTAAGCTTATTTTATCGAGAAAGCTGTACTTATGTTGATTTGTTTAGTTTTCCCTTACTCCTGTTGCCATGCAGGTCAAGCAGCCAACGTGACCATGAATCCCAGATCACACACAAATTCACTCAATAAATGTTTCTTTAAAACATCTGCATACTGCTGATGTTACAGGATGAAAACAGCCAAATGATAATAGTTCGTTAGAATCTACTGAAAAGCGATGCGCTTTAAGCTTTCCTCTTACATGTTTAAAAATTCAACTAGACATGCAAGTAGTTCATGACTATAGTGTGAATGATTTGAGTTCTTTCCATCAACTAGACATTCAAGTAGTTCATGACTATAGTGTGAGTGATTTGAGTTCTTTCCATCAACTAGACATGCAAGTAGTTCATGACTATAGTGTGAGTGATTTGAGTTCTTTCCATCAACTAGACATGCAAGTAGTTCATGAGTGTGTGAGTGATTTGAGTTCTTTCCATCAACTAGACATGCAAGTAGTTCATGACTATAGTGTGAGTGATTTGAGTTCTTTCCATCAACTAAACATGCAAGTAGTTCATGATTATAGTGTGAGTGATTTGAGTTCTTTCCATCAACTGGACATGCAAGTGGTTCATGACTATAGTGTGAGTGATTTGAGTTCTTTCCATCAACTAGACATGCAAGTAGTTCATGACTATAGTGTGAGTGATTTGAGTTCTTTCCATCAAGTAGACATGCAAGTAGTTTATGATTATAGTGTGAGTGATTTGAGTTCTTTCCATCAACTAGACATGCAAGTAGTTTATGATTATAGTGTGAGTGATTTGAGTTCTTTCCATCAAGTAGACATGCAAGTAGTTCATGATTATAGTGTGAGTGATTTGAGTTCTTTCCATCAACTAGACATGCAAGTAGTTCATGATTATAGTGTGAGTGATTTGAGTTCTTTCCATCAACTAGACATGCAGGTAGTTCATGATTATAGTGTGAGTGATTTGAGTTCTTTCCATCAACTAGACATGAAAGTAGTTCATGACTATAGTGTGAGTGATTTGAGTTCTTTCCATCAACAGGTTTTGATCCTTTTGATATCGTGTAGCGAGCTTTTATCAGGCTGGAAACAAGGCAACAAATCTTTGTCAAGAAGCGCGTGCATAAGCAGTTCCACTGCCAGATTTTACCGCCATCCTTTCCTAAAAACCTCAGCCTCATCAGTAAGTTACTTTTACGCATGGAGATCTCAGATGACAAACATAGGCACCTACCACAACTTTCACATTCATGAGAGAGGAGGAAAGAGTGGAGTGAAGAGAGGCGACAGGGCAGGACATGTGACACACATTTAAATTTAAATTAACTTTGTACGAGCCTAAGACTTGAACAGAGAGAATTACTAGAAGTGTACAAGAACGAAACCAAAATCAAAAAAGAGTGGAAGCTCTGAGAGAACAAGACACAGTGCCATTACAGCATTGAACAACACGGTCCAATGTTTGGTATGAAACAACAACTTACGCAAAAAGAAATCTCATAGGTATTTTTCCAAGTCTACAACATAAGTCAAGGAAACGAATGGCAATGCATGAAAGGCTACCTTCCCCTTATGGAGTATCCTATGACAAATACAGTAACTGTACGCTTCATTTACTTATAGAATACGCAATGATGACATAAAATTTTATCATACAATTAAATTAAAAGATCGCGCAGGTAAACTTTTGTATATTTAGATTGGAAGCTACAAATTTTTGCCATACATGAATAAATTTTTATCGATCAAAACATATTGATCATACGCTATTAAATATTTCTTTTGGCGAAAGCGTCTTAGGTCGGGATGTCAAAATTATGAACATGGGAATTAATAATTCTTTTGGAAATTATCGTTGCCCTGATGAAATCTTCGATTGTATCCATGCAAGCGCGCACAAACCAAATTTGTGAAATTACGCGCAACGCTTGGTAAGTTTCTGAAACGTTATTTCTGTTACAGGAGTGATTTCGATTTACAGTTACATCAATAATTTCGAGTATAGCAATAATCTCGGTCTTGATCAATATTTAAAGCGTAAGATTAAGTTTCATCATATCCTACTTCCTGCAATCGGAAATTAAGCCTATCTCAGCAACTTTGTGTTAAACATCCCACGGCAAGTACATGCGCGTAAATAGTTCCCATTTTTAAATACCTTACGTCTGTTGTGTTTATGGTTGCCGCAAGAAACATTTAGGTACTTCCCTTATTTTCGCAAGGATAAGCAATAATTTCTTCCCATATATCATTTCGTAACTATCATTTACATCCCCTACATTATTTTCAACATAAGACAAAGATGTATAATACGTACAAACATCACATTTCTGGAAACACGCATGTTTTGTAGCTGCGTAAAAAGCATATCTGCCAACTTGTAAAATTAATGTAAACTTTTTGAGATCATTTAGAATCAATAAAATCCCAAAGCGTGGGAGGGGGACACATGTAAACACAAACGCCTGCGTTCTAAAAGCTCACTCGCATCACTCGCACTTAAATTAAGCAATCAGTAAAGTGAAAATACCGCATTTAAGTATAGTTATGAGGTGATGACGAAAGCACTCTCAGAGCTGAATGTGCATGAGCTTTTAAAATACGGGCGAGAGACTATAGCAGCATTAAGTTGGCATATCAAAAAATAAATGTCAAAAAAAGCAAATCGGTACTGAATAGACTATAAACTTTTTACCATCCCCCCGTTTCCATGAAAAGCATGCATAAATCAGGACAACTAAACAACCCTTTATGGTTTGACTAAGGATTGCCATAAAAATGAGGAGCTCCGCATCAGACCAATTATAGCACATTGTTTCCATATTAACTCTAAACCAATCACACTCCGCTAATTTGTCATTTGAAATAAAACTGAAAGAAAAGTCTTCGCGATTAAGGCTTCAGCGCGTAGAGTTAAAAATACCATACTAATAAACGAAAATTAAACGATTTCATCGACGTAACACATCAACATCCTGACACACGCTTTGACCTTGCTTAAGATTAGAACTTCCATTCAGGAACACGAACTATAGAGAATCGCTGAATTGTTATTCGAGAAACTCCGGAAACAGCAATTCCAATCACGCAATCACCGAAATTGATGAACAGAATGCTGTATATATAGCTCTTGGGTTCAACATAACAGCATTGTGTGATGAGTCCAGCAACGACGCCATACTACACGAAGCATTTGGACCGCGCTATCTAAGATCATGGAAGGAAAGGTCGCAAACATTTTCATGAAAGTATGTAAATGACTTATTTTATGCATTATTATAAAAACAGAAATTAATGTTGTTTCAAACTCTTACGTAACCAAACTGTAAAACACATGCACATCTTTGACCGAGCATGCAAGGTAGTAGGAATGGTTACTACAATCGAGATAATAGGTAAAGCCTACAGAGCTAAAACATTATGATGAAATGATGCGATTTAACTTATGAATATTGAAGCGGTTAAAACAAAAAGTTTACATTGCGTCAAATTTTTTATGTTTCTTCATTAGAATGTACATATGTATCCAGTAGCGGGATCCGGTGTACGTGAAAATAAATTATTGCTCCTCAATTTTAAATTAAATTACTTTCAGAAAAGCACGATAGGTGTTTAGTTTCCAAGAATATAATTTTACCAATGGATTAGCCTCTAAGGTGTTTAGAAATGTAAATATACGCCAAAATGTGCTGCAGTAATTTATTTTGACGTAGTCTGGGATCCGCCACTGTATGTATCCTTTGATAAACGTAGAAACTTCTTTTTAAAACAACGCGCAGTTTAGTTAACGTACACTGGCATAATCGATCGAATTTATGTGTTAAATAGGAACGTTTTACTGAGGAAGTGTAACTATTTCGATGCGGTTATAAATATCGTGGTATAATAATTGTGCGAGGATTATTTCCTCCTAAATTTCTTCCCATGTTGCATGTTGCAGCAAACATGACCCGGTAAAAGAGCAAGGATTTCGTTAAAAAGATATCTATATGCTGTCGATATTAAATTTTTGAGAACACCCAAGTTGCAAAACACTTGAAATTTTCTCTCATATAGTTAAAACTATCATATCTATAAACATGAAAAATACAACTCAGCCATGCTAGTAATACACGTGACGATAGGGTGGAATATTGATTGGTGGGAATTGAAAGGGATGATTTGAGCTCGATTGATTATGTTATAACTATTGATTGATGGGAATTGAAAGGGATGATTTGAGTTCTTCTCCATCAACAGGTTTTGATCCTTTTGGTATCATGTAGCGAGCTTTTATCAGGCTGGAAACAGGACAGCACATCTTTGTTAAGAAGAACTGAAAGAAGCAAGTGCACTAAAAACGTCAGAAGCAGCAGTAATTCCAGCTTTGTCGACAACCTTTTCCCAAAAAGCTATGCCCCCTACAGTGAGTTTTCTATATGAATGGGAATCTCAGATAACCACGATAGGCACCGCCCAAATCTTTCACAATGACGAGAGAATACGGGAGGGAGGGGGGGGGGCAAATACCCAAATCGTCTAACACACATATAAAATCAAGTTCTCATTGTGTGAGCCAAAGACTTGACAGAAAAGAAGTACTTATAGTTTAGAAGGAGAAGGAAATCGAAATAAATAAAAGGAGTGGAAATTCTGAGACAAGACACAGTGCCATTATAACATTTAATCCAATGTTTGGACTGAAACAACAACTTCAAGCAACAATCTCACTGAAATTTTTCAATTTATAGAACTCCAATGTCATTCAGCTTGTCATGAAGTAAAGGCACAATTCCAATATGCTGTGATAAAAGTTGAAACCGTAGTCGTCGGCTGTCGTAAAACGCCGTTCCCATCAAACGCAGAAAGAGTCTATAACATAGGCCAGGGTTACAAATGGCAATGCAAGAAAGGCTACAATCCTGCCATGGTTTACACGACCTACCTGGAGTATGAAAGCCATGACAAACTGGTTTATAGAAAGGGCAAAGGCGTGTTAATTGACTGCATAAAGGCAAATTAATACAACAATTTCAGTTTGTCGAGTGTCCTTCGACAAATACAGTAATTACATAAATGTAATCATTTCACAGTGTAGAGGTGTACTTAAGTATATTAGCGTATGTTAAGCTCGTGTGTTCTTGCATTGGAAGCCCAATTTTATAGCCATACTGAAATAAATTATTCTCTGTCAAAACATGATGATTTTACATTAGATATGGAGAATTTATGAAGACGTTTTCGTTAGAGATCGTAAAACGATGAATTTGACAAATGATTATGTTGGTCTGAAAATCATCGTTGCCATAACGAACTTTCTTTCGTGCTCTTACAGCCAAACAAAAATCTTACAGCCAAACAAAACCGAATTTGTATGACTAGACACTGAGCCCACGTTGCAAAAGATATATAGTTCTTCCTGTTATAGCAATGATTTCGAGCTTAATTAACAATTATAGCAAATGATCTCGAAGTTAATTCACAATTATAGAAACAATCTCGATCTTAATTAATAATTATAGCAAATGATCTCGAAGTTAATTCACAATTATAGAAACAATCTCAATCTCAATTAAACAGTTATAAAAACAATCTCGATCTTTATTAATACTTTTAAATAAAAATCTCGATCTTAACTATAAGCAATGGCAACATTTTCGATCCTAACTGACAGCTGGTATTGATAAAGATTTTAAGACTTGATTCTAAAATTTCCAGTAATTAAGATCTCAGAAATTAAGATTTCATCAAGTGTGTTAAAGGAATTTTTTGAAAAAAACCATACACTAGGCCACACACAAATCATACACTTAGTGTCAGGGTCGCAGCTATAGAACGTTAATTGAGGGGGTGGTGTATTTTCATATATTCAGCTGTGCACGACTGTCTTCTTTTGAAAGTAATTTACTTCCTAGAGAAATCAGTTGGGCACAAATGAATATATGAATATAGACCCTCTCCCAATTAACGTTCTACCTACGGCCCTGCATGGCGGCCAAACAAACCGTACACTTGCCTAAAATTATCGGACTCGTTCCTAACTTTGGCGAGTAGAATTGTTAAAATAGAATACCCGGCTTCTCACACAAACATAATATGTTAAAAATCTATTGCATCGATCTATTTAACATTACAACATAAGCCGATGATGGACGGGAAATATTAGTAGCTATCCCAGCATGCTTCAGTGTCGAAAATTTTAAATGTAATCATCACAAATGAGAGTGTTCATAATCGTTTTTTAAAATATCTGGAAATGTAACGTGTTAGATACAAACAGTTTCATTTGCTCACAGCCTTTTTTTCGTGAATTTTTCGCCGCTCTTTTTTAGATAAGCACTACACTACTCTGACTTCTGACTTGTTAATAAAAGTAATTTTGACGGCGTTTGAATGCCTGCAAACACAGATAGTTACTATCACGCAGCTTTAAGGAAGTATAAAAACATGAAAGCATAGGAAAGCATACGAAAGCGCACGAAAGATTACGAAAGCGTACGAAAGCATACAAAAGCATATTAAACGACGCGAAATAAAAAAAAGCGAGGAACACCTCAGTGGCCATAATTCATAATCATGATGACTAGAAAGAAAAAGCATTTCAAATTTGTGATTGAAGCTCGTGGCAATCAATACGATATTGCATGTTTAACTCTTAAGAATGACAATCGAAACTTATCTATATTGCAGGAGATTAAACGGACTTACTCTAACATCCGCGAAGAACTTTTGAAACATTGCGAAGCAAATATCTTCGTTAGTAAATTTATTTGTACAGCAAGATTACGTAAGTTAAGTATGGCGTGGTACCAAAACCATAATCTAGCTCAAAACAGCATACTTAGCTATCAAATTAAAGCTCGCAAAACAAAAACGATTTTATAAACTCGTATCGACAAAATAGTTATTCGTTTTATTTGTCTGACATCATTATAGAACGCCCTTATGGTAAGTCGAGACTAATATTTTTATGTAATATGGTAAGTCGAGACTACGTGTATCAAACAGGAATCATGAATTCCAAGATTCGGCTTTCTCGATTGTATTAAAGACGTACGACGTTAAAGCTATCTGCCTTGATAGGAATTGAAAGTGGAAGTATAAAGAACCTAGTGTCACGACATCAGCGATGATTTTTATGCGCAAAATAATTCCATCAACTTTCTCCACAAAATTCAATTGAATTCTACTTTGCTTTTGTACAATCTAAGCGGTCTCAGACTTCCAATCGATCTCAGCCGAGAAATACAATAAGCGGTATAGAAAATTGTCTTCGGGAGAAGTTCCGGAAAAGCGTCAATAAGCGATACAATTTTCAACGACATTTAAAAATCGATCAATCACATGAAAACACGCATTCAACGGATGTGATATGACCCAAGGATGGGCATGTTAACCTGGATTAAGACTACAAGTTCAACTCCGGAAAACACCACAAATCTCGCAGAAACAAAGCGAATGCAAACGCACCATTCCCAAAGGAAATGACAAGCTTACACGGTTTTGCTTTAAACGAAACAAAAACATGTTATATTGCAGAGTTATGAGTTTCGATACAGTACGCTGTAACACACGATATATTGACTCATGTAATACATGGTTTAGTTACTTGTTGATTCAATACTGCTTCCTTTAGTTCTGTGACTTGATATTGACAAGGCTATGACGCTAGCAGCAAAGCATTTATAAGGCGAAGTTTCAGAGCACACACTAACACACCATTGTGCGACACAAAGCAGCTATTGCAAAGACAAGGATAGTGAAAACAGCGAAGAAATCATAACAAAGGAAAAAATTTTTATCGACCAGCATTTCTATTGATACGGATACGAAAAGCGTGGAAAACATCATGATTGTAAGTAAATGTGTCTACGGTTCATCTCAAACATGAAGGAGAAAGCCTGAACTTTCATAAAATTGTTTTTTTTGAAAAAATTACTTTTTGATTAACATCGCTCAACAACATAACTATGTGTTATTTCAACCCATATCTTTTGCTTAATAATTGGCATCCTTTTCTTAACTTTATCTAAGTGAAAACAAACGAGACAAATGAGAAAGCTATGCTTGTATCTACACAAATACACAACCGTCTATTGTAGAAATAGGGAGCGAGCCTAGATGCAATGATTTTCATGCTCGTCACATGAAACGAATACTTAAACTGGCTCCACTTAAATGCAAAAAAGAGAGCACAAAGCCAAATCCAGGCTTAAAATAGGGGTGAAAGTTGCAATTATATGTAATTTACAAAACTATACAAAACTATATTGCGATTGCATATAATCCATTGTACATTGAGAATGCTTGGGTAAATTTATTAAGTGGCAATAAAGATTACTCGGTGTATTATGCATTCCTTATGTGCCAAGTTTCCGGCAATAATGATGCGAAAGAATAAAAATAACAGCTGTTGGAAACTGCAGTATGTTTGTTATACATCATACATATTAATGTAACGGAGTAAACTAAAAACGAAATCTCCTAGTTACTGAGATACGACCTACATTAACGTAAATCCGATCTTCGTAAATCCGATCATTGAATCCGATCTTCATAATAGCCATGCATATCTCCGTGATCACGATATAACCAGATCCTTGTCATAGTAGCTACCACGGGCTTATAAGGGCATTTTACATAAAATCACCAAATACAGTCATTTTTCGTCAATTTAAGAGTACATTCACTAAAATTAGATAATCATCGAACACTTTGATACCTTTCATAGTAATGAAATGTATTTATTAACGAATAAATCGCCATATTTCACCGGAATTAACGATATAACTTCAAGCTCTTAAAGTGTTTATATTACGAATTTTAGCCCCTTTATTAGCTAAATTGAAAGACCTTGTTTCAGTGATTTTAAATCTGCAATTATAATTGAAATTGGATTGGTGAAAGTGATTTTACGGACGTTCAAAGTCACGATTTTCAGCATTTTTTTTGCGAACTTTTTGATCGGTATGCTAATGACTTGTGACGTAGAAAGTTGAACACATATATCAACATGGCGTATTCTACTAGTAATCTTAGTAAGAAACGCGGAGGAAAACGCTGTGTTGCTAGCGGACCTAATCAAATTAGTTGCGCCAATGATTGAAAAACCGAAGGAATGTCGATGCATCTGTTTCCTAAAAAAGAAACAGAGCCGCAAAGATATAGAAAATGGGTAAATTTTGTGCGTAAACATAGACCGGGTTTTGAGGCTTCCTCTGCCTCGTGTCTGTGTTCTGCGCATTTTGAAGATTCTTGTTTTGACCTTAATTTGAGCGTGCAAGTCAAGCTCAAAAGAAGGTTGAAGAAAGATGCTATCCCAACCGTTGACGTGGCTGGGATTCCTGAACCATTACAGGACGAAATAACCGATCGAAAGCGAAGACAAGTAAGTTTACGCTTGTTTATGTTAATTTTTCTTTTGTCATATGTAAATCCGATATAGGTTTTGTAGATTATTCGACATACTCTCCATAAGCCATCGCTGAAGGAAACATGTTCTCTCGATGAGGAAGTACCATCTACAAGTGATGGAGCTGAGCATGTTGAAGTATGCACTGGGGAAGCAAACGATTCGCCATTTGAAGAAGAACTACATGCAGTTGGTGAAGATATTTGTGAATCCCAGTCTCCATGTAAATCGGACTAATTATTGTTGATTAAACAATGTTGATGATAACGTTGTTCTCATACAATTTACAATATTACATATTTAATGATTGTGATGCTTGGCGGCGATAAGCACGTCCATTCCTATCTCTCAATAGTGGCCCGACGTTTTCAAGGACAGCCTCATGAACTAAAGGCCCAAATTTGGCATGCTGTGTTATGCATATTTTCTCAATGCTGCCATCGAATGTCATTTTCTGCAAAGCTGGTCCTATTTCCTTACAGCATCTGCACTCTAATGCGCCTTCTAACAAATCGGTATGACAGCATTGACAATTACACCTGAAACGTGGGAGCATTGTGGTTTATAAAGTAACTTTATGTATATTACAAACAGGAGAAAACAACAACTTACCATTCACCGAGTGGAATTACGCCATCACTTCGTTGTTCTAATGTCGCAGGGAGAATTCCATCGGGATCATCTGGAGTATGCACTTCATCACCATCTCATACGAGCGGTTCATCGTCATATGCGAAGTCGTTTAAATGCTTGACATAACCCACGGATTCCGAGCTCGAATCAGATACGCATTCAGACATCGAATTCGAATTATCTGAGCACTGATTTGAGGCCATACTTTCCGGACAACTTGTTTTTTAATATTTCATTGAAAATACTGTCATTATTTGTTTTTAAGACAAGAAAAACGACAACAAAATCACCTCCTATAATATAATATTATACTGACGGAAACAGACGTGTTCAACTATCTACGTCGCAAGTATCAATATGGCGTCGTAAAAAATTCGCAAATAGTACCCGACTTTGGAGGCAAAATTAAGGAACTTATATTTATCTGTTTAAGTCCAGCGACATGTCATAGTTCTTCAAATAATCCAAATTTTCAATTAAGCTCATAAAAAAGGGGGGCTAAAATTCGTAATATAAGCACTTTAACAGCTTTAAAACAGTTCGAACTTCAAAAACTTCTAGACACCACCCTTTTTCAACAGACATTCAAAACTTCAAAAACGACCTTTTGTAGATACAACAGCCTGGTTCTCATATAGTCGTCCGTGTCGTTTCAGTCGTGTCAAAATTTCACAGACGACCCGTGCGACTGTGTGAGAACATTTCAAAGGCGACAGGGATGACCTCAAATGACTCACACGACTGAAACTAGCAGGGTCGCTTGGATAGAACTTTGCTTTATGCCGACGACCGAAATGACCGTTGAGAAATGCAAGCGACCTTTTTATGGCGCAAAACGATTTTAAGAAGCAAATAACTCGCCAAAAGATTTTGCCTTTGATAAACAGCAACTGCCATTTCTAAATATTTCGCGAATTTTAAATGTTAAGCAGTCTCTCGGCAGCGCTAGTACGAATATATGAGAATTACATAGCTTGAGACGTCTAGGCATTACATAGCTTGAGACGTCTAGGCATTACATAGCTTGAGACGTCTAGGCATTACATAGTTTGAGACGTCTAGGCATTACATAGCTTGAGACGTCTAGGCATTACATAGCTTGAGACGTCTAGGCATTACATAGCTTGAGACGTCTAGGCATTACATAGCTTGAGATGTCTAGGCATTAAATAGCTTGAGACGTCTAGGCATTACATAGCTTGAGACGTCTAGGCTTTACATAGCTTGAGACGTCTAGGCTTGCAGTAACACATGACCCCGAAATTTACATGCGTAAACCCGTTGCTTGTCGAACTATGGTTCTATGTTAAATATTGCAAAAAATTCCATAAAAGAACCATCTCACGCCTCAAAAAATCGGAGATGCAAAAACTAAGATTCTCACTTTCTTTTCTATTCAAAGAACAACAACACGGCATTGACGTTGTTATTTTTGTTCGCGATCCTGGCAGAAAACACGGCGGGAGTATGTATTAAGGAATCGATCGACATCACACCGAAAGGAAAGATATTCTCGAAGAACGCGCGCATATACAGCAAGAAATGTAAAGACACGTGTTACCCGGTGAGCGTGGACGTCGCGTACGTGGTTGTCAAAACGAAAACCATCACAGTCGGATGTACGACGAGTGGGAGTTTACTTAATCCTCAGCGCATTCGTGATCCGCAGACTAATTTAATAAAACGCAAATGCAACAACGGTTACAAGGAAGATTCTGCATTTTATCCTGTTGAAATCGTAAAGGACAGCAAAAACAACAATATGCTTCATACAAAGTTTAAAAAATTTGTCATAGCCTGCTCGCCATTGTAATTGTAATCAAAATCGATAGTGGATATTTGAATCCGCATGTAATGTAGCTAAATACGCTTTAAAGTATATTTTTGAGAGGTTTCTCTATAACAATAATTTAATGTATGCCAAACTATGAAATAAAAGATTTATGTGTTCCTACTTACGTCATCTTACGTCATCATTTCTCAGACTTCCACAGGAAATAAGATTTGAATGTAGTTTGACCCAAATTATCACAGATGAGATAGACCTGAATTTAAAAGATAAACATGGCTTAAACACAAAATTATAACACACAAGCACATGCCACATAGATCAACAAAAAATAAAAAGGGGGGAGGGGAGGGAGGCCAACATCAAAATGGCCGACTAACATTAACATTTCATTTTAAAATGCCTAACCCCACATTTTCAACAAAATTAGTGAGGATAAGCTCCCTCTGCCTCAAACTCATGTACACATGATCACATGTAATGGTAGAGATGCCAAATGAGTCCATTTTTATGTGTTCAAGTTCACCAGCACATAGGAAATAATCCTTTGACAAAGAATCAAATGAAGAAGAATTAAATGCATTTTTTAAGCATTAAAATCCCTGTACATTAGCTCGTTATAATTGATATGACATAATAGTTTCCATAGGCCTGACAATCCCACTGATAAAATGTTCATTATTATATCACATGAATTTGTAAAATTACGTAAAGTTCATTTAAAAAAGGTCGTATCTAGGACAGCACGAATAAGGATATCAAAGCAGTTAAATTGATTTCATGCATTTTTAAATGTTCAAATTTCCAAGCAGTAAAATTCACATATAATTGCAGATTGCTTGATATATTCAATACATAATCAAAAACTGGTGGGGAAACTGCAGATTTCAACTATTGCTATGTGTCTGCCCTAGCTTAACAAACGACATGTGTTTTCTTTGACAATTTTCCATCAAAGTTATGTTGCAAAAACGACAACATAAACACGAACCAAAACTGCGGGGGTGGGGGGTCATTCCAGGATTTTATTTAAATTTATAAAGTAGAAAATTGTATTTTAAGAAAATTGTTATTGCTAAAACTTCTTGGCCATTCTGAATACAAAAAATACTGTTCATACCATTCCATAAAGAGAGATAAGTCGTAATAAAACACCGCGTTTGCTATAAATTTTTTGTAATTCGCTCTAAAAAATTCATTTTCAAATGCATACATACTCACTTCTCCCTACCAGACTGCAGGCTTTCTTGCAGTAAAATTAACCGTCTTTTTTCGCTATTCATTCGAAGCAGCCGTACACCGTCAAATATACAAACCCATCGACTAATTCTTGGTGGCAAGAGAAAAGGTGACATTGCCGCCATGTTGAATGATTATGACAAAAGATTTTCCCGCCTCATTGACAATATAAGTGATGTTGGATGTAAGTACATCCAACATGGCGAAACTTTCATTGTTCTAAGATTCTTTCACTTTAAGCTTCAGTGTTTCACTCCCAGAGGATCGATTAGTTCCACATACACACACCTGATTCAATAACACGTCTGCATAAGCCATGCCGCATCCAAACATCAAAGTCCAAACACGTCTTCCTTTTAAAGTACGTGTAATCCACGCACGCCACGCAGTTTCCACAATTCCACTGACAGAAGCAAATAACCGAATCGTGGGAGTTTAAACGAAAGAAAGATCTATAGCGTGTTTAGATATCTAAAAAGACAGCGTTCAGCTCATAATGGCCGAAGAAAAACGATCAGAATTTCTGAAAAATAGAAGCAAAACAGATCTAAAAAGCTGGGAAAGAATTCGTGTCCTCACGCTAAATTGTTGGTATGCATAACAATATATTTGTAAATTAAATCATAAATCATGTTCTTTTTGCACAATTATAATACGTCACGGTCGTGTTTCCTTGTGCAGTGTCTCTATGATTTCCGCTGTTCTTTGTGATTAGTGTAATAGATTTGTCTTTGTCCTCCAAGTCTTTGCATATATTTAATATGTGCATAAGAACTGTACTTTGCAAAATGATCATTTAATACACTGATCTATTAATGTGTTTATGCAACTTTAAATATGGCACTTAATGCAGCCTAATAAATTTCTGGCAAACTGAAAATTTCCAGTTTCCTCGAATATTACTATAGACTATGTGCATCATAGTGATGAATGAATTAACAAACTAAATCGCCCTCTCATTGAATGTTCTGTGAACTGCTACAATAAAATCCTCAGTTTTTGTTGATGTCACCAAATCACAAACAAACCTTTAGTTTTTTGGTCAGCTTCAAATGTCAAACTTGTGCATAAGCATTAGAGACAAATACCCAGTTCATTCTTTGTTCTCTTTAGTTTATGGTGCATTTCATGTTGTCAGTTTTAATGATATTTTTTTATCTCTAGGGGTATCCCATATGTTTCAAAGTTAAGAAGGAAAAGATTTGATGCAATTGGCCAGGAATTAAAAACAAGCAATTTTGACATTGTTTCCCTTCAAGAAGTATGTTTTAACTATGATCTCATGTGTATGTATTGGTAAAGCAGTTTTTAAAATAGTTTTGGTTGACTTTCAAACTGCAAAGATTCACAATGGATTTAGTGTCCAATAAGCTTGGACTGTGTTTGTATTTGTTCAAACATCTGTAGTGAGGGGGCTATTTTTTCGAAATATGTTTGGGAGTATTTTATCCAACTTTTATAAATGGATTTTAGAACTACCATTTAGTGTACTTAATTTGATAAAATTGGTGTGGAGGGTCGACACCAGAACATGATTATGTTAACTCACTATTAAACAAACAAAACCATTCCATATTAAATTGAAGCTCTTTCTTGTTTTAAAGGTTTGGTCAAAAAAAGATTATGAATTATTGAGAGTGACACTGGAAAAGAAATTTCCATATTCTTTCTATTTTTATGGGTAAGACCTACATACATTTTTTACCTACAAACTTTGCGTGAGTGTTAACTTTATCGTTAAATATGACGTTATTGTATAACGACGTCATCGTTCTACTCCTCTCGATTTCCATCTATCCATCTCCAGCAACAAATGACAATTGGAAAACTGTGGGACATTTTCACTGTTTCTATCTCCTTTATGTATTTTCTTTACCTCCTAGTGGCGTGTATGGAACGGGAGTTTGCATATTCTCACGACATCCAATCCTAAAGACGTTCGTCTATCCGTTTTCGGTCAGCGGCTATCCCTATGCGCTCGCTCATGGAGACTGGTACGGTGGAAAGGCGGCCTGTTTTGCATTAATACAACATCCAACGATGAAAATACACTTCTTTACCTCACACGTAAGTTAACACATGCCCTATTCTCACCTCCTACATGGCAAGGCATTTAGGGTAATCATTCAATGATTTTTTTCCCTTTAAACGAGTGAGCATGTGATTATTAGAGTACAAGTCTTACAACTTGAAAATGGCAAGTGTGTGTGTGTGTGGGAGGGGGGGTGGGGTGGTGGTGGTCAAGTGAATTTCGGATACGTTCAACTGCTTGCGGTGTCATGTAATGAAACAAAGTTGTGACCATTATGCCAGGCTTGAAGATTTTTACAAACATGAGAAATAGCTCTACTTTCGTCATCTAGCAAGGGCACTTGCTGCTACTTCAGTAAAGTGTATCTATGTAAAAAAAAACCGTATAGTCGTGTGAAATTTGGATTGTGGGTGCTTTCAGCTTCACGCCGAGTACGATCGCAACAACGATGTCTACCTCGCGCATCGTGTCGTACAGGCTTATCATCTCTCCAAGTTGATTGGTCAAATGACTGACCCTGATGATTTCGTCATACTGTGTGGTGACATGAACTCCGAACCAGGAGACCCTTGCTACAGGATTATCAAGGAACTTCCTCAACTTAATGATAGTTGGCTGGAACGCGGTGGAAAGGTGAGCTTCGTCAATTCAATTATTGTGTTGTAGCATATCCTCACGATTTCCTCCAGCAAAGAAAATGTTCGTAGATGTAGATCGTCCTGGTTATTAGAGTCCTGAGAAGGACTGTTTTTGTTGTTGACTGACGTTTGGACAACCTTAGCGGTAGTCATCTTCAGGGTCAAAATGAAGATGACTACCCGCTAATTTTTTTTGTCGAAAATGACTACCGCTAAGGTTGTCGAAACGTCAGTCAACAAGAACAAAAACAGTCCTTCTCAGGACTATACTAACCTGGACAATCTACATTTACAAACATGTAACGATACTCCCGGGTTCAAACCATTTACTTTAACAAAGAAAATGTTGGATTTAAATGAATTATGATGAAGTTTCTTTATAAGATTGATCAGCGGCATCACACAACCAATCGTATTCAACTCTTTAACTCGAAAAGTCGACTCTGAAATACTTTGGACAGGTCAAACTTTTCAAATTAGCGTATAAATATTCATTTGAATATCCAAGTAAATAACCGAAGATGTTTTTAAGAGCGTTAAGGCCTGCAATCTTTAATGTTTATTCAACAAAACTTCGTGTTCATCCAATGTATGTCCGTTTGTTATTTGAAAAACTTACTGTCGACATTATCGATGAAATCTCGATATTTAAATGTATTTCTAGTCTGGTTGCTATGGAAACACGTGCGATCGTAGTGCGAACATGTTCTCGTCGGGAAAATGTGATGATAGTAAGCGAGAAGGACCTGAAGATGGAAAGCGAATTGACTATATCTTCTACAGATCATTGGACGGGAGATGGGAATGCGACAGCGCATCTGTGACAATGAGTCAGGTGCCTGGGGCAGAGTTTCCGTTCTCTGATCATGATGGGGTGGAAGCGAGCTTCTTGATGAACGAACAAACCTCGTTATGTTTGGGTGTGTTTAGGAAACTCGAATTTTTTATACATAGCTTTCTTTGAAGTTTAATTTGCCTTTTTTGTTGAGAACTCTTTATTCCTTTGCAGAGGAAACCATCCGAGAAGAAACTTGCCTATCCGCGTTGTCAGAGGCGACAAACATTATCAAAACTGAACTCAGAAAAACCAACAAGAACTTTTATAAGAAACTCATAGCCATCGTGCTCTTGCTGGTTATCATTCTTCTCCCTGTGTTTATGCCTCCCGTTCATGTACGGTGGCTGGATACAGGGGAAGCCGTGGGGAAGCTTGTATACACGTTGCGTATACTGCTGACTGTGCTCGTATGTGGGCTCACTTGGTTTCTCTTTATCACCAGGAGCTACGAGCGGCATGTTTATGAAGGCGTGTTACGGGAAATACACCTTGAACAGCATCATGGTCGTACTTCATATAGACTAAAGTAAAGCGTTGGATCACGTGAACCTGTGTGACGAACTGATTGAATAGAATTGACCAATTATTTGACAGTGGTTTTGGTCAGCCGTTTAAACCGTCTGCGTTTCGATACACCTAGATCATAATTATCTGTATTTGACAAAACAAAAATTAACTAAACTAAACTAAGTTACTTTGATAATAAAGCTGTGCTTATTTATGTTCAATGAATGCTAATATTAAAGAAAGCCAAAAAATAGCGCTGTCTTATCGTTCGATCCCAAGAAAATATCGTTACAAGTTTATAGATGTAGATCGTTCGGGATAGTAGAGCACTGAGGACCGTTGGTGTCGATATTGATTGACGTTTCGACATCCTCAGCGGTAATCATCATCAGAGTAAAATGACAACAGAGTCACTTTGACTCTGAAGATAACTACCGCAAGTATGTTGAAACGTCATGCAGTGAACATCGACACCAACAGTCCTACTCAGGAATGCACTAACCTGGACGATCAACATCTACAAACATCAAACATGAAATCGTCTTATTTTATCATCAACCTATGGACGTCTCTTTCCCTCAGATATTGCGGTGTTTTACGTACGTCTAACGGAAAATATTAATCTACTTTCCACAATTCGCGTTTGCCAGGTACTGGACCTCGCTATCCTCAAGCGCATAATTATAGATTAAAAATTCGTCTAAAGCGCCATTCAGATATTCTTTTTCATAAAAGTGCCGGCCTATACCGGCAAAATGTCCCCAGTCCTGCGACAAAAGCCCGTTACCCGTGCTCTGTTTCACGAGTTTCCCGCCCACCCATAATTTTGCAAGGCTTGCCTTGGAGTCGTACGACGCAGTCACGTGAGTCCATTCACGTGCTGGAACTACGGGCAATGTCTCTATTTTAAAAAGAGATTGCCCCAGTTCGTTATCATGTGACCAAACTACTTTGCCATTGTCGACGGCGAAATTGAACTGGTCATCCTTGTGCTCAGAGCGACTACCAATCGTGTTAAATATTTGATGGTAACCTCTGCAGAATAACAAATTGTTTTGATATTTTACGAATATATTTATTTGACAAGAGGTAAACGTGATTCCTCAAGACTAAGTCCTCATAAGTTTTAATAAAATTTCCTTGAAGTGCGCTTGCGAGAGTCCTCGGGCCCTCAACTTACAGAAAGTGGGGTATCACAACACTTTGTTCATGCTTAAATTTAGCGGAAAGATTTTCGTAAACTATTGAACTGAAAATCACTGGAAGGCTACCTCCTTTCAAAATTTGAAGCCAGCAATTCGAAAGGATGCTATGCCTCCACGCACGCTACAAAAGAAAGTTCATTTGCGACAGTAAGGTAAAATTTGTGACTTTACTTCCAAACACGCACCTCAGAAACTTGGTAAAAAACTTGGCTTTATCCAAGTGCAGGTATGTTTTACACATACTTTACTTAAAGGTAGCCTTCCAGTTTCATATTAAGGCCAGTGGTTTATACTTCGAGTATTCATTACTTTGTGACTGAGGAAGCCAGCATACAAAACAACGGAATTCGCTTCGACGAATATCGCAAAAAATCATGGCATGCATTGCCGTCGACTATGTACAATTAAATACCTGTTTGTATTCAATTTGATCCATACCGCTATCGTGATTGCGTTCAGCGGTTTTCCTATAAAACGCTGCCCATCCAAATCGATTTCGCCCAGGCTCATATTCATGGCTAAGCCACAAATTCCCGGCATGTTTGTAAGGGTCAAATTCACCAATTTGCCGTTGTTTCCTAGGCCAGATTGATCTAATGTGTAGAGATCCTCAGTTTTCTCGAAACCGAAGTGGAGAACTGCCCTGTTTGAGTCACACATCTCACTGAGCGATTGGATTTCGGCTAAAGAAAGCGCCTTTCCGTAGACGTAAAATTCGTCGATTACACCAAGTAGTGGCTGGCTTTTGATCCATTGGCCGCTGTCCGACATGTCATATAATTTGCCAATGATGACTTTTCCATTCCAATCCTTATAAAAAGTTGTGCATGTTGGTAATATGACAAAAATATCAATATAACATATATCGACAAATGCCTGCTATCAGCATTTATGCCTCTTTGAAATACTGCCGTGCAATAATCCCTAATTTCTCACAAATGAGTGTTTTCATTGAAAGTAAACAACAATTATAATAGTATGGGAAAGTTACATTAGAAAACCGCAAAACGGAAAAAGGTACACCTGAAAGATGTAATTAAGGAAGAGAGACGAAAGAAAAAAAAGACACAACAATAGAGGTAGTAAAGAATGGCAAAGAAGAGGGGTGAATGAAGAGAGTACTAAAGTGAGGTTATGGACAAAAGATACTAAAGAAACGATGTACGTACTAAAGAGATGAGGTACTTTAGAGATAATTTACTAAAGAGATGATGCACGAAAAAAGACATGAAATATTTAAGAGATGATGCACGAGAGACTAAAGCGACGTTACACATGTGAAGTGCTATTTAATATGTATGGAAAATGTGCTTTAGCCAGCAAGCTAAAGCCTGCTTTCCACTTGCCACGTATCGTAACGTATCGCAGCAAAACGTAACATGGCGCATGCGTGCTTGCGCCTATTGACCATGAAATTCATAAGCACGCATGCGCCCTGTTACGTTTTGCTACGATACGTTACGATACGTGGCAAGTGGAAAGCAGGCTTAAAAAGTCGAAATCATTCTCTTACCTGTGACAGAACTCCGCCACCAAGATTGCCTTGCGTACTTTTAAGTTCAACGTTCACGTAAATTTTAGCATTCCGCGTAGAGCCACTGTATGTTGCACAAATATGAGTCCATCTGCTAGGTTCGATCACGCCGTTTGCAGTTTCCACGCTAAATACAGTCTGCAAGTTGAAATTGATAATTAAATTGCTTTCAAAGAACTTTTGTTTTTCCATGTAAATCACATTGCTGTGAACTCTAGGTTTAATCCAATCGAAGCTAGATCCATCCTAATCTGATCCAACTCTAGCCAATATTGTCAATAATCTTCGGCTACAGCATCAAACTATTTCTCTTTGAAATCAAACATACATTGCCATTTTTCGAAGAAGATACCGATTCGCCTATAATGAACACATTACCTCAGCCAATGCATTTCTATGAAACCATCGGATTGATCCATTGTTAGCTTGTAGGTGATACTGCCCGTGTCTGTTTCCGGGATTATCAGGATTCGTAGTAACAAAGATCTCTTGATCACCAAGTATTGAGTCGAATTTCACCCAAAGCATCACAGTTATTCCCAAAGTAGGTCGAACTACGATCGCTGATCCCTTTATACTGACATCACCTGTAGAGGAAAAGAAGTCAAATGATCAAACAAAAAGAACAATCTTGACTTGTTGTTTGTACGCCATTCAGTATAAAATTTTGAAGAATTATTAATTTTTCACGCCCTTCATAATGCAAAACTCGGATTTCTTTGTTGACTGAAGCCAGTCATTGGGTATTTGGTCATCACGTGAAAGAGCTTGTCAAGATACGAATATCAAAAAAAACATGTTTGCAGACATTGATTTCTAAGTTTAGTGCAGTCCTGAGAAGAACTTAAATGACGTTTTCACATCCTAAGCTATTGAAGTTAAGTGACTAACAAGTCAAATGACTACGGAGTCAGATCGACCCCGAAAATGACTACTACCACAAGAATGTCAAAACGTCACAGTCAATTCTAAGACCAGCAGTCCTCAGTACTGCACTATTCTTATCGTTAGTGGTAGTCACCTCCACTTGTGATTTTTACATTGACTCGGAAGATAACTAACGCTAAGGCTGTCGAAACGTCAGTCAACGTCAACAACAACAGTCCTTCTCCAAACTCCCCTAACATGAACAATGTACATCTACAAACTTGTGATGTTACACCCACCTACAAACCACTTACCATTAAAAACAGTGCACAGCGAATAAGTGAGAGAAATAGTTGAATATTTGTAATTTTCGAGAAATCAATGGCAAACACTACCTTGGTTTAGTTTCAATCCGTTACCGCATCTCCCTCGCACGATTTTCACTTGTGCATCAGTGCTGACGGTTGCGTCAACATTATGACCTGAATCATCGTGGATTGTCTCACCAGAAAGCCCGTTGAAACTGTAGTAAATCATTTCGTACGCTTTACTTCCTGGAATAAACGAAAATAACCTCAATCACGGTAAATGGGCCATTTTCGTTTCTACAATTGTGGGGAAACAAGACGATAAAGAATGGGAAAACAAAAACCCCTTTTAAGTCTTTGATCAGCATCTTGACTTCTTTCTTCTACTGACTACAACTAGCGTGGAAAGGCTAGATGAACTGATTCGATGAAGTTGAATGTCACTTTGCTACAAGTCAATAAAAGTCACCACCTTTGACGAGAGGAACTAACGACATAATATTCAACGCAGAATTGAAATCGGCTCTGCTCCCATTGAATAATCGCTCACCTCCATTCCAAACGAAGTTGCACTTGCCAAACAAATTCTTCACTTCGAAAGAATCGAGGGCACGATTGAACATCCTGATCTCGTCAATATATACGAAATCCTCGGGCAATCCCCTGTGCATCCCAAATCCTGCGAGACCGTCCCAATCGTCGGACAGATAACCAGTACCATCTCCCTGTTTTACTGTAGCACCGTTAACGTATATATTTGCCTTGCTGGTTGCAGCAGAGTAAGTTGCCACGAAGTGAGCCCACGTTCCTGAAGCATGAGATAAAAAGTACGTCATATCTGCACAGCACAATATGCGATGAGGCAAGGATGTGTTTGTGGGATAATCAGGAGCTTAATGGTGTAGAGAGAACGTATAAAACCGCATGGAAAAATTTGAATGAGCAGTGGATAAGCCAGCCAAATTTTTACTCATGCTTTGCAAAATTTTCAGCAAAATCACAAATGATTTTTATAAAAAAATTACTTTCATTCATTGTTTTTTTCAGTGGGAAAAAAATATTAGCAAAGCAGGAGCAAAGAGTTTAGCTGGCTTTGCCACAATAAATGGAGAAATAAGAAATACTCTTGAGATAATATGAGCGAAGTAGGCATGAAAAAGATGCGCTCAATAGTGCACAAGTCAGATTAGCATAGTGATCAGGCATTAAAATTTCATAATAGGTCAATTACAAAAGATCTTCTTTTTCATACACACTCTTTATATTGGTCAACCAAGCTGAACAGACATAAAGGAAACATGGAATAAACAAAAAAAAACTAAAAAAAATATCAATGCCAAACATAAAGTAAAAGCATATCGAGACAGTAGTCATCTTTCTTTACGGAACTTATACTTATTGGGTGGTGCCATTGAAATTGAATAATGCGTACCACAAGTCAGGAAGCGATACAGAACAAAATACATTTGTCTGGACGGACAGGAAGCATACTACAGACCTACCAGGTAAGATCAATGGTTCCGTTTTCACTTCAAATACAATCAAATCAAATTCATTCCTGTGCTCCCACAGTACAGCTCCGTCGTTGACACTCAACTCGTACTGGTTTTTGGTATGCATTGAACGTCCACCAATTGTCTCGAACAAAGTGTGTTTCCCTTTTACTGAAGTAAAATTTGCCCATAATGCAATAGTAATGGCATCCGTAGGCTTATTTCGAAATGTTTTCCCATCCAGTTGAATGATACCAACGTTACCCGGAACCATAAGACCCATTCCACAGGTACCATTAACAACTAGATATAAAAACGGAGCAATAACAATAATAAGTGGAAATATAATTTAGATCACCACAGCTGAATAAAAATATATGATGCCAAGACAAAATGAAACAGTGTCACTACGTGATGGAAAGTGCAACTATATCATGGAAAAGTGCCACCACGTAAAGTGATTGTAAAGCGCCACTACGTGATTGATAAGTGCCACCACTTGATACAAAAGTGGCACCACGTGATGGAAAAGTGGCACCACGTGATGGAAAAGTGCCACAAAGTGATTGTAAAGCGCCACTATGTAATGGATAAGTGCCACCACATAATGAAAAAATGCCACCACGTGATGAAAAAATGCCACAACGTGATGAAAAATGCCACCACGTGATGAAAAAATGCCACCACGTGATGAAAAATGCCACCACGTGATGGAAAAATGCCACAACGTGATGAAAAAATGCCACCACGTGATGAAAAAATGCCACCACGTGATGAAAAAATGCCACCACGTGATGGATAAGTGCCACCACGTGATGAAAAATGCCACCACGTGATGGAAAAATGCTATCAAATGAGAGAAAAGACGTTTTGATAAATCTCTAATTTGCAAGCAGGTTTCTTGGTTTGCTTTTTTTGCCATTAGGCGAAGTTAATTAGTGGGTTTCCCTGTAAATGTCACACTAAACGTACAATGTGAACAAAATCACCACACGATGGCACGTGTGCCATGCGTGCTTTCTCGAACAAACTTACCCATGTTTTCAGGATTCATGCCCACAATCGTAACATCATTTTGCATTCCTGAGGTATCCAGGGAGATGTTACCCATGTTTTTTTCGAATGTTAGCTGTAGGATGACGTTGCTTTTCGCGCCAGTACATTTTGAGATAAGATTTTGAATTTCCAATTCTTTCAACGTTTTATTAAAAATGTAAAATTCGTCAATGTAGCCCTGCATAGCTTTTTCGCCCTCTTCCGAGCCAATACCTAAAATGAAATTAAACTACATAAACGCAGTAACTCGTTTCGTGTTGTCAAGACATCAGCTTTTCAGCACATCCATTGGTGCACTACATTGTCCACAGAGGCACTACGTTATCCATCAATGTACATTCGTGCATCAAACACAAACTAGAAGTGCCAAAAGGTGCTTTTCACTAAAACTAAACTCTCTCTTCATAAATTATCGACAACATCCAAAATAAAAGCGTAACACTAACATCGATGGTGTTTCATATTTTCTACAGGGGGGAGGTGCTAAAAATTTTAAGGGGCTAAGCTAGTAAGCAAGGACGTAAGAAAATTTAAGGGTCTAGAAGGTTGTGTAGAAAATAAAATTTTTTCCTGAAAAACTTAGTTCAACCTTACTTCTGATTTGTTTTGCTAAAAATTGGGTGCGTTAAAATGTTTGTTGGTGACGTGATAAACAATACATTTAGGGGGGCGAAAATTGGATTTTTGGGGCAGTGTCCCCCCCCTGCATTTCTACCCCCCAGTAAATCCGTCCATGAACAATAATAGTGATTGGTTACTCAGATAACTCTACTTATGTTAAACTTGACTTATAATGAAACCTAACCCAATAAAGTTTTGAAGACACGTACATACCAGCATATTGTTCCCAGTCTGTAGACAACAACACTCCAGCATCTTTTACCTCCTCCTTATTCAGCTTTCCGTCGACAAATATTTGTGCAGTACCAGTTGCTACGGTGTAAGTGACAAGAATGTGAGTCCATACATTGAGAGTAAGCACTGGAACGTCAGTCGTTGCGCTAAAAACCGTGTATCCTTTGGCGTCACGATGAAACCACAGAATGACGCCATCTTGGATTTCAAGCCGATACTGCACTAAAAGAACAAATGAATGGAAACTGACGAAGTTTATTGTATGCAGTAGAAAAGCCAGCTCGTGTTTTACTCCTACAATGCAAATATTTTTGTGTTTAATCAGCGGTAAAACAATAAATGTAAGTAATTTTCTAAAGAAATGAATGATTTAATGACAAATTTTCATCGTCAGATGTAGGAGTAAAAGATCGGGATGAGTTTTTCGCTGATAGTATAATGCAACATAGAATTATGAAAGAAATCATGCGTCGAAATAAGTCCATTTCCATTTCAACCGACTACCGGACACACATGGGACATGATCACTACCATTAAAACAGGCTTTTTACTTGGAACTTGACGTAGTTTGACTATCTAATTCCTCTTTGATAACAATAATCAAACCTGCACATGTTCAGACACTTGGAAATGAAAATAAGTTACGAGTAAAATGAGAAAATCAAGAGATGACAGGCAAGCAAACATGTTTTTACCGGCAAGTTGAATAATGCACTGGTCACGACTCACGACCCATGATTACTGATAAAAAAAGAAATAAAACGCGCGCGGTGATTGGTCTATGGCTGTGCTAGCATAAGCCTGTGTAAATCGATTTGAGCTCAAACAATTAAATCAATCTATCAATCAAAAAGAATTTGCAAATCAATCATGAATACATGTTAGAGAAAATATTAAAACGTTTATTTTAAATTTGTCGGTTTTGCATTATTGTTAGTTCATAAAATAAAAGATGTTTTTCGTGTTTGCACCAGCTTAAGCAAACATCGGAGACGTCTGTGAGAGTTCTCGAGCAGTTGCAACCCTCGACCTTCGGTCCCGTACTTCCACTGATCTGCTCTCAAGTTCTCCCAAAGGTCTCCTCTGTTTGCATAAGCCTGTGCAAACACAGTAAACATCTTTTAATATATTTACTGTTTTGTTATAAGCTAAAGGACTTACAATCTTTATGAGCTGATCGTTGTCCTCCAATGGTTTCGAAGAGATGTAGTACGCCGTTCATCTTTAGCAGCTGAACCATAAGCGCTATTGTGATCTCGGTGCTTGGCAGTCCCCTAAACCCTCGACCTTGTATATTGATATTGCCCCCCAATATCTGAGCACAAACACCACAACTTCCATTGACTTTCCCGACGGTCGAACCGTGATCGAAAGTCGAATTGTTGTTCTGTTTTGAATTGTCCAGAATACGAGCTCCAATATAGCGATCAAAGCCAAGGTATAAAACGCAGTCCTTGTTGCCTGAAACAACAGATTCACTTGATGTGATGTTGGTACGATCTTTTAATGCCCTTTTAAAAACATCCTCCCACGTTTGTCGTTTCCTAATACACTTTTTTATTCAATCTCTGGCGTTCGCCAGTTTAACAAGTTCCTATCTTGAAATCTACAATTGAAATGAGTCTGCACCACAACATTAAAGCGATCTCTGAGTAACATTAAACTGTTGAATTATGAGTTAGCTTACTTATAATTTAATGCATTTGGTAAGAAAACCTGGTCTCAGTAAGGCATCATGTAAACATTGGAAACAAATACGCAGATCTGGCAAGATCAAAATAAAAAGATGACCTTGATGGTGAATTTCAGAAATTCAACCTATGCGTAGACATACCACTGAGTCCAGCTCTTGACACTGAAGCCAACACCGACAGGAGAGCGATAAAAAAATCATTCATCTTTCTTTCATCATGTCTTCAATAAAAAACTTGCTTGAATTCTGATGTTCCTGAGTATGTAAAAAACGTTTTCCTCGTCATAATATAGATTTGGTCAAATAGTAAAGACTTGATATCATAGAGGGAATTGCCCATTACTACAATGTCAATGTATTACACAAACCCCCTCATATAAGGGGAATTGCCCATTACTACATTGTCAATGTATAACACACTCCACATTGTCAATGTACTACACACTCTCCCTCATATAGGGGGAATTGCACATTACTACAATGTCAATGTATTACACACACCCCCTCATATAGGGGGAATTGCACTTTACTACAATGTATTGACAAACGCATTATCGAGTTTAGGCAACCTCAACACCACACGGCTTTGTTAACACAGATAAATTTCACACATCCCTCCCCCAGAATGGCAAACTATACGTTTGTTCCATTTTAAATTTCGTCACCAGACAAAGAAATTAGTTTGCGATGTGTTGTAAACTCACCTTGTCCCTGTCAGTTTACAACGAATTCCAAATGGAGCTACGTTCGCTGACGATAAATGGCCACATTATCAAATCGAATAAACATAGAGAGGAATGACAACACTCGTTACTAACCCACAAAACAAGTCGAGTTTTGGCTGAAGCCCAAATAGACCAGGCCAGTTTAATCAGCAAAACTTCTATGAACGTGATCAACCGTTAGCATTCATTACGATGCGTCGTACGATAGCCGTAAAACTCGATAGTTTAATTTTTGTCTTATTGTAAAATGATTAAATTTGATTATTCACGGCCCGCGTCTCGGCGTCATTAATAAAAAATCATGAAGCGTGAAAGATACCAACTATGACGTCACTTTTCCTTCTTCCAAATCATTGATTACGCGTGAGAAGCAAGAAAAATTACATTTCTATGAAACTTAGGCAGAATTGTTTGATGAGCAGCCTATAGCAAAGGCAAGACTTTTTTATTCGAACTGACTTGTAGATTGTGTGTTTTTCGGCCTTTACGAACGAACTTCTTCAAATCCTTTAAAATCCTTTGGTGCTCATTTATATAATTCCCACATTATCTTCTATTTGCCAAGAGGAAAAACATCGATAGCAGTTTGTAATTAATTTACTAAACTGAAGTTTTTCAACTTGTCAAAAGATTCATTCATAAGAATGACATTAACCCAAAGACTTTTCGTTACTCTTCATGGTCAGCTTCGTAAAAAGCTCAGCCAATGGAATGCAAGCCCGATATAAACCTATCAAAATGGACTGTAGCAAACCTTTAGAACTATCGTATTCAGGCTTGACAATCATAAACTGAAAAAAATCAACGTGGATCTTGTGTTCTGAACTTCGAACTGGAACTGTAGAACTTTTCGTTACGATTGTCGCAAAACGTCACGTGAAACCCCATCATACACGATCGAAACTTGATGGCAGCAAATCAAAAGAATACCGAGGCCCACTATGAAAGAGATTGGGAGAAGTTTAAAAGTTTTTAAAACGAGCCAAGCGCAAATTTACAAATATATTAATAATACGGACAAAGATATCGCCTGATTTGCTATCTGGCAAAACATAAAATGATGTTTCTATAGGAGACACTTTTTAAAGGTGAGTCATTACCAAGTGAAACAAACGAGCAGAGTACATGTATCCCAGCCTGATTTGGGGGTATGAAAGGCCCCTGTTTGGCAGGCAAAGAGTGAGCGCAAAGCAGACTCATCCTTTTCCATAGTTCAACTGCCTCTCTCTGTCTCCATAAACATAAAGACTCAAATATGTATCTTCGCGAAATCTTCTGTCAAAAAGGAGAGAATTTCGCTTTATTTCATAGTTTACAGTCAAGCCCCTCGTAAGCGGATACCTTACCTTAGGGAGAACGCTCTGGGCCGGTTGCACGAAGCCTGGATAGCGTTATCTTTCGGTTAGGAAAAATCTTCAAAGGGTGTTTATAATTTTCTTACGACAGAGAAATTTCGTAATCTTCGAAACAATATTGTATTTCATCGATTGTTCAGTTCGAATTTTATATTTTTTGCTTTTTAAAAGGTTTTATGAAAGCTTAAAGAAACTTTCTATGGCAAAGACAATAAAGCTGTGTCCAATTCCGAGGGTAGGTGTCCGTGAGGTTCTACTGTTTTTTCATTTTCTTCAAAAAAACAATTTACGAGATGGGACATGGTAAGTTTTAATATGACATTAAAATTTTCGATTTTTTAATGCAAACTCAAATTTATACATCGATTAATGGGATTCATCTGTCGATAGACATAGTCTTCACTTATCTCAATATAGTTAAATAATTACATAGAAAGCCGTGGGATTCAGACGAAAGAGGTGAGGGGTATCCTTCGTTCTATAATTCATGCACGAAACCAACTTGCGGCAGCACCAAAATAAAAATACTTCAAAGTTTTCAAAATCTATTTGAACTACAACTGACAATAGCATTTTAAAATTTGTCTATAGTACAAAGCGCACCACGGCAAGGAAAGGACTATACTTTATTTTGCATAAGTTTGTTGTTACTTTGCAGCTGTTTAAATGAAGCGTCAATCGCAGTAAGATTTACGATATCACTAAGTTCATTCATCGCAAAATGTGCGACATTCTACAGTCTAGCTAAAGAAAGCTTGATGAAAAGGCCCATCACATGAAAACGTCTTCACTCAAACTTCGTGTAGCCATCGTAACCAGAATGCACCGGGGGTTTGTGGGCAGGGTAGAGGCTATATGATCCTGACGGGGGATATAAATCTCGGGATGGATAGCTAATACTTGACCTTGTGCTTGCGTACGTATCTGCAGCGTATCCCCCACCGTAGGAAGATGGCCCAGCGGCTCCAGCCCGACGATAACGTGCATTCTGCTCAAGCAAGATGTCATTGGTTGCACGAAGATCGGCAACCTCCTTCTGCAAATCCCCAACCTTGCGCCGCAATGAGACATTCTCCTCCATGAGATATCGGTAATCACTATCCATTGCATCACGAGGACGCTTGCGTGGGGGCTCCTCATAGTATCCCCCTCCTCCTCCTCCTGCAGCCCCAACCCCACCCCCACCGTACATATTATCTTCATTAGCAGTATGTCGAAACTTACAATTGTTACCCCGATTACATTTATTATTGAGGAAATCCTTGCATGCTTGTATGTCGCGACCATGCATAGCCCCTCCACCACGAGCCCCACTGGGAAGCTGCCCGGAGCGCAAGAACTCTTTCTCTTCATGGTTGCTCACATGCAGGTACTTGCATGTCGTCCTGTGACATGTACCATTTTGGAAATCGCGGCATATTATTGGCTGGTTTTTCGGCACGCTGCCCATACCAGCTGGGTGTGCAAACTTGCACTTATCCCCGCGTGTGCACACGCCCCTTGTGTAGTCTCTGCATATTTGCTCGTCATGCTCATTGCCATTGCTCACCGCTCGATTGTCGCCTTCCATGATGCTCGTAGTTTACGCTCACTATTGCTCTTGTTTCACACGCTTACTTAGTCAGGAATTTGCTCAAAATGCGCTTTCTTTTGCCTTGGCAGGGCAACTTTCCCTTTGATATACTATACTGCAAATTGCCAAATGCGCCCCAGAGTTGTGCCTAAGATTCTGCTGTAAGCATCAATAGCTGGCAGCACTATCCAAGCGCTTGCTGGGTGCAACTAAAAAGGCGCACAAGAAACAGAGTTAGCTATTTCTCATTTTCAAAACTGTCTCAAATGCACTAAATCTCAAATGTAAAATAGCTCTATGCATTATACATTCATTCATTTTTGTTTCCTATTTTTAAAATAATATACATCAAAGCATACGAGCATGGATGCACAAAATATCCATCTATCGCAAAGCACTAAATGTCGTCTGAATGGTACTATATAATGCACCTAAAACTATTATTCTACAGCTACTACAGTGACACAAATCATTCGAGTATTTGAAGCAGTTCAAAGAACGACATCTACGAAAGAATACATTACTTGGAAGAACTTTTATCCCCTTTGACACTTCAGAAATGCACACCACATTCGCCTTCACAAAAAAGGAGCAGATTTATCAGCAAAATAAAAGAAATATGGTCAATTAAACTGCTGTTTCTTTCGATAAACCACGCGACAACAAAGTCTTGTTAATATGGCTACCTTTTCACGTGATCACGAAACACGAAGTACGAAAGCTTCCGATCTACGACCGATCGTCACTACGACTTAGGCAGGCAGATTAATTTATAAACAATAGTAGTTTTATTTGCATTGATAGTTTTATCGTGCAAATTTTTACTATATACATGTTCGATACATATTTAACACTCATATTTCTCAGACACAGTTTTCTAATGCCCTTTGCATTGTAAAAAGTGCTATGTCAGGGGGGGAGAACAAATATTGTACTGGACGACGGTGAATATTTCCAATAATAGCCTCATTAACTCATGGAGTTATTTAGTAATTCGAAGAGGAAATGTGAATTTATTCACTCTGAAGGCTGCTTTTTGCATCAAGAATAAATAAATGCCAACAAAATAGGAACACTAAGTTGACATCAGTGATTTCATAGTTTCAACAGTTGAATTTTGAATGCGGAACTGGCCGTCGTGACGTGTGACTGGTCGTCGTGACGTGTGATATGTAGTGAACTAGTGAGAGGTCGACAAGCCCAGCCAATTTCTCAAAAGAAAATACATGCGGTATTTTGTTCAGCGTCATTTCCCACAGACAGTCAAAGAGCTAACACCTTTCCATCAAGTGTCATCCAACATCATAGTGGTAGCAGAAGCTCGTTTTCAAAGAGTTGCCGGCAATAGCCCAACTTCCTGCCAAATTCTAAGTAGGCTTTTACTGATAAGATGTGAATATGGAAGAAATGCGCAGTTCCCATGCTTTATGAGCTGCGCGTGACGTCTGTTAATCCTCACTTACGTGTCCTCCTGGTAGAATGGAATCGTCTGAAGAGGATAATTTATATTTCATCGCTTCAAACGGTGAAAATATCATCACGGAAATACCTCACAAACTCCGTCATTTTGTAACTTAAACACATCCTTCAATAATTGTGCATATCTAGTGCTTTTTTTGAAGGTGGAATACTATGGTTAATAAATTTGCTATACCTTTATACTTCAGTAACTATACCTAAGTGTACTTTACTAAAAGCCAGGAACATTTAGACTGTCCATCTAAGAAAGATTAGTTTACACCATACATCGAATTATCTCGTCACGCGGCATCTTCGTTTTGCTTTTAAGGATCAGCAAGCAGTTCGACATATAAATGTGTAATAAATTAGTGATCTATTTAGTCTATATATTTCTGATTCTAATGTTCTCATCATACCTCAACACAAAGAAAATTGAACAACATTTTAGAGGTAGAGGTATAAGTTCTTCTGAGTTCTTTTGAAAACTTCTTTCAATTCTTTGTTTTATCCAATAACAGTTTTATCATAAACAAGCTCATTGAGAACACGGCACGAATGCAACAACAGTTCTCGCATTCCACAGAATTCCTCTCTAAACATATGAAACTTTGATTCAGTTTTACATAACAATTGTGCTCGGCTATTTATGCGCGTAAAGAGAAAGATGCACTTGTGCAAACGTTGCCCGGTCGTTTGTCGTTAATCATTACCCATGAACATAACGTGAAATAACATCTGATGGATTACACGAATTCACGAAATTCAATTTCAAACGTACAATTTATGAAAATATAAAAAATATAATTAATCTGTTCATTTCTTTAAAGTGTAAATTAGAACAATTCAAGGCACTTTTAAAAGAGTTTTGACTAGTTGTGGTAATTCAAAATTGACTATGAAATAATGAAAAACTAACCCTTTACAATGTCATGTAACTTTGAGAAAATCAAACTTTAATATACTGTGACCAGCTTAGGGTCTCAGGACTGAGTTTAATGCTCCAAATATACTTATGCAGTTAAAAATGCCCTCGAACAAATTTTGAACTTGGTAGATAAATTATCTAACGATGAATTTTCCTCTATATATAGGTAGTGCTTGCGATGTTGTTAAAGCAAACGAAAGAAGAGATTGTGGTTGGGAAGAAATAACCAAAAGCCAATGTGAAAATAAAGGATGTTGTTATGATATAAGTATTCCTTATGCTAACAACTGTTTTTACAAAGGTACAGTGTTTTGTATTTGTCTTCGTAATGGTATCTTTCAAGTATGTCTCTCCATTTTACAGTGAAAATAAAGCAATACAAAGGTACAGTGTTTTATGTTCCTCTTTAGTGATCGAGCATTTCAAGCTTGTTTCTCCATTTTACAGTGTAAGTTAACACTTGTCTATCTGCTTTTCACAAAACTACCCCAAGAGAGATATAAATCAAAACTAATAACAAATTGCCTATAATCTACTTCATGTAAATGAAATAGCGACATGAAACTAATTTACCCTTTTACTTTCTTTTAAGAAGTCTTTAAATGAAGATTTTTTGTTCGCACGACGATTAATAATCTCGTAGTATAGCTGTAGTCAAATATACTCCCTTGATATGGCATTGTTAACGTTCGTTTTTCATTAAAGTTCTATTAGTTTATGAAATGTTTGCCTTTTTTGGAAAGGTGTCCCAATTTACAAATAAACTAAATGAAACTAAACCACAACTCCACAAACCTCAAACATGAGAACAGCGGACTTGTTTGTGAAATATAACATTGCATCGCTTGCTTTCTTCATTTTCACAAACACCAGCATTTCAATTAAGCGCCATGTTGTATTAGATTCATTTGAAAGAGATGCTTAAAATGGCGACTGTGAAAGTATCTTGGCAGGTAATGAAACAAAAAACAGGCTCATTACGGGCTTATAAGGCCAACCTTTCGCGTAAAAAGTTGCTATGACGGGATATTTTAGTTGAACTCAAAAGTAAAACTTTCAGACCAAAAATAGGAGTATCACATGACTAACCTTCTTTGCCCGTTTGAATATGACACTTGAGCATTCTAACATCATCAACATCCATGACGCTACCGAAAAATTCAGACAATCTTTCATAATTGCATTTAAGCAACAAGTGATATATAAACCCCAATATATTCACGCGTTGAAAAGTCTGTTTCGTGCGAAGTCATAACATACGAGTTTTTCGTTGGGAGTCTTTGCCAAGTTTCTCAGGTTGCGAAATAATTGTATGTGACGTCAAAGGGGTAAGATTTTTCTTCTTGAAGCTATTTGTTTATATGTTGACGTTCGTCCATGTTTGAATTGACTTTTACTGGCGTCAACTTAAACAGGGACGCCGGAACTGGGGGGGCAAGGGGGGCAACGGCCCCCCTTGCCTTTTCTGGAGGTGGGCAGGGGGGCAAAAGTGCCCTACAGGCTGAAAGTTTATTGTTTTTAATCCAAGATAAAGACCACTTAACCGTTGTGGTATATTGCATTCTTGTTAGCTTAGCAATAAAATTGTCGTAACTATGTTAGTTTTCCTTTAACATTTGGCTTTGGAAGCTATGGGCTTTGATGGGGCTTCAGCAATGAAATCCCTCGCAAGAAAGCTCAAGGAAGATATTGCACCAAACGTAATTTATGTTCATTGTTCCAGTCACTGCAATGAACTTATTATACAGGATGCAGCTAAGCAATCTAATTTATTGTCTACATCACTGGATTTATGCCAATCCCTGTATGCAATCGTAGGTGCCCATCCAAAACGTATTTTATTGTTCGAAGAAATACAGGCAGATTTTAGAAACGAAACAGGAACAAACGATTACAAAGTTCTACGACTCCAAAGTCTTTCTACAACGAGATGGACAACAAGAGTAAAGGCTGCTGACGTCATCTTCGAGAAATCGGCTGAACTACATGCAACCCTTGAAAAATTGCAGGAAGATCCTAGTATTTCGGCAGACACAAAAGCAAAGATTAGAGGAATATTAAGGCGACAACTGTCTTCCTTAATCGTCATCTTTAATTTAAACGCGACAAGAAAGCTATTGGCTTTACTCGAGAAGCTTTCTAAAGAGCTCCAAGTGGTTGATATTTCAGTACGCTCTATTTTCAATAAGACATGTCCTGCAACGTCTTCATGAGATGAGAAGCGAAGAAGAGTTTGAGCGTACATTTGATGACGCTAAGAAAGTTCTTCGTGTTATGATGTCGTTTCCACTGGAATTTAGTGAAAATTTTGGCACTGGCACTAGACTAAGAAACGTTCCAAGATGGATGAATAATGAAGAAATGTTAATAACAGAAAGCCTTCACGTCACAGATGCCTCAGTTTACAACAGTGCGAATATAACACCAATGCAAAGCTCGTACTACCAAGCCATTGATGCAATCATCTCAGGTCTAGGATCGCGATTTGAACAAGACGATCTTTTCCAGATCAAATGTATCGAGAAACTGTTACTTAACTCTATGAAAGAAAGAGGAGTATCTTTAGATGGATTAAGCAATTCTTTGATTGATAAAGATGCTCTAAGAAAGCAGCTTGATGATCTTCCCACCATTCTTGGGCTTTACAACGCGGATCAGAAGAAAAAAATAGCAGAAGTCACGCGTATTTCAACAATAGCAGAGATACTGAATGCCATGCCGTCAGCAAAGAAAAGGTGCTCAGAGATCCACAAACTAATTATACTATACTACACTGTGCCACTCTCATCTGCCTCGTGCGAACGCATATTCAGCGTAATGCGTCGTCTCAAAACATGGCTGCGGTCAAACACTAAAGGAAATCATCTGAATGATATTATGTTCTCCAACATTCAGAAGCAACACATGGATATGGTGGAAATAGACGTAATTGCCAAAGAGTTTTCACAGAGAAATGAAAGAAGAATTAAATATTTTGGAAAATACAATACATGACAAATTGTGAATTAGTGACGTTACATCGTTTGATACTTAAATTATCGTTAATATTAATCGACCAACACTGCAGACATGTGCTTCTGTACAGTGTATTGCATGTAGCACATCTCTTTGCTGTTTATCAATATAAGATTATTTTTAGTATATTTCACTAATGTGCCCTTCCACAAAGGCTTGCCCCCCTGCCCTTTTGCCGTTCCGGCGTCCCTGAACTTAAATCAAGGAAACATTTCTGACTTGCATGGCCCTTGTTTAAATTTATAAGCCTCCAATTCATTTTTCCTCTGGCATAAA